AATTCCACCAAATAGTAAGCCTGCTGTACCAGACATAGCACAGGCAATGGCAAAGACAACAGAGGTTTTATCCAACTGCTCCACTGACAGCTTTCGGCTCAGGTTTACTAATACAGTGTGTTATCTGTCAAGGAGAAAGAAATGAGTCATATCGTTTGGTGGCATTTGAGCCTGCAAAGGTCACAACATGTCAGATCAGTCAAGTCATTTTGGAGCTTCTATGACTGTCCTTTTTTTGTGCTATTGGTTTGAGTTCATTAGTAGTGAAATTGAAAATTACACTCTACCAAAGTGATATGTAAAAATCTTGCCCAGACTTGGCAGGCTGAGAACAGTTCTCTGCACATACAAAGGAAAATAGGTCTAAAAAGGGAATTTGGTGCAGTCATAACAAAAGTTATTATGGCTCTACATTGACTATGTTGGACTAGTGTATTTAATAATTTAACACATCTGGAAGGAAAAAAGGAGCTGTCTTGGAACTTCAAAAGACAAGAAAGATCTGATTTTTATGTTAAAACATGTATCTTTGTCAGTATGTTTCAGACAAAAAGAAAAAAAAAGAAAAGAAAAATCTGATATCGTTCAACAAGCTGTGTAAATACATGTTCAGCCCCTATAGAATGTGTGATATGATTCTATATCTGGGGCAGTGTGGGAGGAGGGGAGAAATCTTCAATTAAAATTAATGGTACTGGGTCAGATGAACTCCACCGATTTACACCATCTAGCCTATTGCATATTTTTGTCTTCATTCACTAAACGTCTAAACACTAGAACAAAACATTTTACAAATAAAGGCCAAATCCAGCTATACTTTGTCCCATTAAGACAGGATTTGGCCTACAATTTAAAGGGAAAGAGATAATTTCTTAAGAGATATAAAAAATTTACAGATTCCCTGTGTACTGAAGTCTTAAACAGGATTCTTCCCTCTCCAAATCAACTCCAAAAATCATTGTGAATAAATGTTAAAATGATTTAACAAGTAGTAATAATAATAGTGTGCTTTTCATCCTAGGATCTTAAAACAATTTACACCTCACAGCCGGTCTCTGAGGCAGCAAGTGTTCTTAAAATATCCCATTAGAGTTTGATAACTGGAGACAAATAGTGTTCTATGATTTTGGATGATCTAGGTTTTAAGTGTCCAACCCGTGGTCCTAATTTTCAGAGGTACTGAGCACCAGCAGCTCCCATTAAATGTAATATGCTCAGCCTCTCTTAAAATCAGGCCCAAAGTGTCTCAAGCGGGACTCCCAAAAGCACACACAATTAATAAACACTTTTGAAAATTTGTGCCTACGTGACTTGCCCAGGGAACACTGCAAATCAGTGGCAGAGTTAAGAATAGAATTCAGTAGTAAGGAATGTGTGAATGTAAGCACAGAACTCCAGAACCTCGAGATATCAGAGTAGGAAGATGGGGTTCATTTAGCCCCCCCATCTGCCCTTCTCACAGGTGCCTTCCTGCTAAATCCCCTACAACTATCCCCTTATCCTAAATCCAAGGGCACCCACACATTACAATAAATGTTTTCAGTAGGCCACAGGGTCCTGTTCCCCATCCCTATGCCCTCTCTTTGTGGCTGATGGCACTCTCAATCCTCTTGGTTTTCAGAAGTGCTGAGAATGGTTTAGGAGAAAGGCCTTGTACAGGACACTGCTGCCCAATCCATAGTGCATCTGGGAGTGCAGAGACCTGATAATCCCCTAGCATGTTAACTAGGAAACATTAGGAAGGTATCAAGTGTATAGCTGATAAAGCTCTCAGGGTTTTTCTCACTACTGCATTAAGAATTATGAGGCATCTTTGTTGCCTGTTAACAAAGTATTTATTTTGTTAACATTGCTATTGGGGAGTGGAATGAAGCATATCCCTAGGAGGTCCACCCTTGTTGGAGGAAACAGCTATCTGGCATCTGGAAGACCCTTGTTAGGGTGGAGGGGGCTGTTGCCTCAGGAAGATGATCTCTCTGAAGACACCTAGTTGCAGGGGGGTGGCTGTGGGTTTCTCCTGGAAGTATGAGTTCTGAACCACCCAAATGAACCAATACCTGCTGCTTAACCCCTCTTAACATGGCTCACCCAGAATGAACCCTGCAGAATTTACACACTGATGAGCTCTGACTCTCAGTGCCAAGCTCCAATCATTACATTTATGGGTCATCATATGGACCCACAGGAAGGAGGCCCTTGAAGAATTCCACCTGGATTTCAACAATTTCCACCCCACTATCAACCTCAGCCTGGACTAGTCCACACAAGAGATCCACTTCCTGGACACTACAGTGCAAATAAGTGATGGTCACATAAACACCACCCTATACTGGAAACCTACTGACCGCTATACTTACCTACATGCCTCCAGTTTCTATCCAGGACACATCACACAATCCATTGTCTACAGCCAAGCCCTAAGATACAACCACATTTATTCCAATCCCTCAGACAGAGACAAACACCTACAAGATCTCTATCAAGCATTCTTAAAACTACAATACCTACCTGGGGAAGTGAGGAAACAGGTTGACAGAGCAAGACGGGTACCCAGAACTCACCTACTACAGGACAGGCCCAACAAGGAAAATAACAAAACACCACTGGCCATCACATACAGCCCCCAGCTAAAACCTCTCCAGCGCATCATCAACAATCTACAACCTATCCTGGAGGACAATCCCCAACTCTCACAGGCCTTGGGAGGCAATCCAATCCTCGCTTACAGACAGCCCCCAACCTGAAGCAAATACTCACCAGCAACTACACACCACACAACAAAAACACTAACCCAGGAACCAATCCCTGTAACAAATCCCATTGCCTTCTCAATCCCCATATCTACTCTAGCAACACCATCATAGGACCCAACCACATCAGACACACCTTCAGGGGCTCATTCACCTGCACGTCTACTAATGTGCTATATGCCATCATGTGCCAGCAATTCCCCTCTGCTATGTTCATTGGCCAAACCAGACAGCCTCTATGTAAAAGGATAAATGGACACAAATCAGACACCAGGAATGGTAACATACAAAAGCCAGTAGAAGAACACTTCAGTTTCCCTGGACACTCAATAACAGATTTAAAAGTAGCCATTCTTCAACAAAAAAGACTTCAAAAAACAGACTTCAAAGAGAAACTGCAGAGTTACAATTCATTTGCAAACTTAACACCATCAATTTGGGCTTGAATAGGGATTGGGAGTGGCTGGCTCACTACAAAAGCAATTTTCCCTCTCTTGGTATTGACACCGCCTCATCTATTATTGGGAGTGGACCACATCTACCCTGACTGAATTGGCCTTCAACATTGGTTCTCCACTTGTAAGGTAACTCCCTTGTCTTCATGTGCCAATATATATTCATGCCTGTATCTGTATTTTTACTCCATGCATCTGAAGAAGTGGGTTTTTTACCCACAAAAGCTTATGCCCAAATAAATCTGTTGGACTTTAAGGTGCCACAGAACTCCTCGTTTTTTTTGTACATTTACACAATGACTAGAACAATGGAAAAAGGCCATGAGATAACGGGGACCCATTCCACTCCTGAAATGATATCAAAGAAATGTCTGTGGATAGCATGATAACTTTAATTTCTTGATCACCTTTGGTTTATTTTATTACATATAGTTCGGCTTAAAGATTAAAGATTGCTGACTCAGTGTTGCTAGTTTTAGAGCCAAATTCAGCTCTCTGTTACTTCACTGACTTCAGTGGGGTTTCACAAGTGTAAATCAGGGTTCAGTTTGGCACTTATTTTGTCCTGGTGAATTTAAGTGTTAGATATCATACAAGAGAGTATATCAGTAGGTACAGTATATTCCAAGGGAAGGGACTTATACAGTATATATTGTGACAAAGTTCCTCCTCTGCCTTGGTGGGTCCTTCGCTTTCTGGCAGATTTGCTCGCCTTAGAGGTTCATGGCAGCCCTCAGTTTGCCCGCCTTTGCTAGAGGCTCAAACCTGCCATTTACTCAGCTAACCTCATCACTGGCCAGCATGGGGAGTCTCCGCAGTCTCTGTTGTCCCACCTAGTGGGTCGGGGACAGGCCAGATCCCTTCCCAAATTAGACCTTCCCCTCTGGTTTGTCCCACAGACCAGGTCAACTCCTCCTGTGTCAGATAGGGAGTTGGGGAGATGGGGGGGGGGGGAACCCAGGCCCGCCCTCTACACCCGGTTCCAGCCCAAAGCACTGTGGATAGCAGCTGTCTACAATGTCTCCTATATCAGCTGCGTGACAGCTACAACTTCCTGGGCTACTTGCCCATGGCCTCCCCCCAGCACCTTCTTTATCCTCACTGCAGGACCTTCCTCCTGAAGCCTGATAACGCTTGTACTCCTCAGTCCTCCAGCAACACACCCTCTCACTCCTTGCACACGCCCCACTAACTGATGGGAGGTCCTTTTTAAACCAGGTGTCCTGATTAGCCGGCCTGCCATAATTGATTCTAGTAAGTTCTTAATTGGCTCCAGGTGTCTTAATTAGCTTGCCTGTCTTAATTGGTTCTAGCAGGTTCCTGATTGCTCTAGGGCAGCCCCTGCTCTGGTCACTCAGGGAACAGAAAACTATTCATCCAGTGGCCAATATATCTGCCTTCTACCAGATTCCTGCCCCCAACTGGTCTGGGTCTGTCACAATATATACATTCCAAGGCTTATACTTTCTAATTGAAAAGTGTATTAGTATTGAAATTCAGTCCTGCCAAATTCCTTTAAAAAATAGCCACAAAAGAACATTTAAAGGTGTAACAACCCGAAGAACATTACTGTTTAACATTGAGAGAAAATGCTTTGATTGTTGGAGTCAAGTTCTTCTTTTCATTGTTAAGACTGCTTACATTTAAGCAGGCTGCAAACAAGTATAAAAACTGTAACCCTCGAGCCCTCAAACAGCTGGTGTCAAGTGATTTCTCAGCATTCTGGTGGGGCAGCAGCAAGCAGAAGACTCAGAAAAGCTTATTTTAAGTAAAAACTTTATTTTTCATTACAATTCACAGTTTATACATGGCAAGAAGAGCTTCTCACCACGTGGACATTCAGAACACTGTGCTGGGAGAGACAGGGGTCTTTTTCTTGTAAAAGAGCATGGCCTGGTACTATTTCACGGAACTTTCCTTATTTTAAAAGCTTACTCTCTGTAAATGTTAATTGACTGATATTTACACTGATAGCGTTGATTACTCAGAGAACAAGATTAAGCATCCAGAACATTAACATTCATATTTTGTATGTTATCTAATGGTCAGAAATGCTACAAATTTGTCATTTTCATCATGGCCAATCAACAAAGTCTAATTTTTCTTTAATTTGCACAGAGCCTAAATTATTCCCTTAGGGCTTGTTATATTCATTTTATGTACAGCCAGCTTACGATAGACTAAAATATGAAAAAATTTTAAAAAGACAAAATTATCCATTCCTTGTTTTTATCCTGCATTCCTTCTGAATCTCACACACAACTATAAACAAAACAACAGATATAGAATTAAAGTCAATGCTTTTCTTTAAAACAAACACAGAAACCCCAAGGATTGGTTTCAGATCTGCGTATCATCAGCCTGTCTTATCTGAACAATCATCAGCATTCAGATTGTGCTATTTATCAGCTTTCCTTCATGTCTGTATTTGTATTCAGAGAAGTCTGTAGTTTATATGTAGAAAGTCACAGTGATACCAGTTTCAATTGCATTCCCACATCAGTCACAGTTCCGGTGTAGGCAACCAATGTACAGTGTGACATTCAGAAAGATCCAGTAGGATCCAGTAGGTGCCTGGTGTGACTTGGCTTAAATAAAAAGTTTAAAATTCTTTTCATAGATTAACTTTCTGGCAGCAGATTTATGATTATTAGAAATTGCTGTGGTATTTTTCTGTAATGTTTTCATGAGTATGGTTATTAGAATGCATCAATTTAAAACATTTCCACATAGTATTAACTTCTACTTGCTCTTGTCATCTAGCAAATAAAATTACACATAACTGGAGATTTTTGGTAATCTGACACATGGGATAACATTGCTGAACAATGTTTGAAAAATAAAACTCAAAATGGATCCATAAATTCTACAGGTCTGGTTCTAATATAGTGTGAGCATGCATCACCTGGATGGGAGTAAAATAAATATTTTCAGGGGACATTTTTGCAACTCTTGTAACTGCAGTGCCTTTAAAGCTAGATTTAGGAGTGTGGCTTTGATGTCTGTTGATTTTTGGCATCCATTCTCAAAGCTGGTATCTTCACTAAAGACACCTTTAAAACGTCATCATTTCAGGCAAGATGAAAGCTCAAATGAAATACATTACTCATGCAAAAAACAAATAAACAAACAGACACAAACCATACAAGAGTTATAGAGGTTCTGTTTCTTCAAAAGATAAGGCACTGACAAAAATTTCTTAGGTAAAAGGCTGCATAAGAATTTCTTGCCATTTACAAATGTGTTGTAGTCCATAAATGGTCCATTCCTAGGCTCAGTAAGGTAGACCCTGAAAATTTAAGGACTGATCCCTCAAAGCTACATTGTTAACATAAACAAATATAATTCATTCGTTAGGCCATATGGCACATTAGGAGAAATGAACAACAGTCTGAGCACAAAAAGGCATTGGATGTTGCTTGCTCCAGCATCTATCAGCAACAGAAATTCCATTCATCTTGTGTCTGAAGAGACATGATGGTGACACTGAATCCCTATCGTGGTGGTTTCTGTTGAACTCATGCACATGTATAAAATGCTACTAGCATCAATCATGGATAGGAAAAAAAGGAAGTATATGGCTAGTTTAAGCCAAGAGTTTCTCCAAGGATCGGCATCCAAAGTCAGCACTACTTAATGTTTTCAATCACAGCAATATCTTCTGCCGCACAGTGAGGAGTCAAACCATTCATATAAATGCTGTCTGTCTTTGTTAGAGCGGGCAAGATGTCCTTCTCGCTGGTGAGGTGGTTGACTGACAGGGTTCTCTTGCAAGGGGTCAGATCTTGACTGTGGTTGACAGCGAGTTCTGCAGAGAGCTTCCTTTTGATGGAGGTAGCCCGTTGAAACTTGTCATAAATCTCCACACTTAGACGCCTGCGGGTTTCTTTGAACTCTGCCGTGACATTGGCTGTCCATTCGGCAGCGTGAGCTCTGAACTCTCCCACCTGCAGCACACACAGTGAAAGAGAAGGGGAGAGAAACACAACATGACTAGGCAGTTCAAGGATGGTTTATGTTCAGGACCCCAGAATGAATAGAGAACAATGTGTTCTACAGACTGACAAAAACTGTTGCCCATTGGCACAACTCTTTTTTTGGTTCAGGTTTAGCTTTTGAATAAAAAAAAAAGTCTAGTTTCATAGAGTTATATTCTTTCGTCCAAAAGGAAGAAATATTAATACAATAAGAGCTAAGAATGACATTAAACACAACAAGAACAAAAATCTATACAGTTAAAAATGGACAAGCTGATTTATATGGAATCAATAAGGGGAAGTTTCCTTTTAAAATGAAGCCCTGACAGTTGAGAACAACCCAGCTGGCCAGGGGGTGTTGAATTCCCAGAAATCCAGACTGTGTTATGTATTGTTACCAGGGGAGATGTACAGGGTTATTTATGGACACACTTACTGTCTGTGTAAAGATCTCTGTGAAGCTTGACACAGGATTTTCTAAATATAGTTGGAAAGGACTTTTTAAAGAAAAATGTCAGCTGCTTGTATTCTATTTTTAGTGCATGTTCAAAGCAAGGATTAATGCAAGTGACAGTTTTAGTCAAGTCAGCAATATGCTTTGCTTTTTCTTTCCATTTCAATTAAGTCTCTTATTTCAAATAGAGAAAGGAATATAATTACAATGTGGGACTCGAGGGCTGTCACTAATTATTCTGAAATGAAACGATGTCCGCTAGTCAGAGAGCAGAGATGATGTGGAGTCTCACGGCTGTATGATGATGTGGAGTCTCACAGCTCTATGATTGCCATTATGAAAATCCCTCCATTCTGACTGGCTACGGGAGGTGTTCCAATTTGCATAATGACTGCTACTTCTCAATTAGGAAATATGCAGATCCCTTCACTTTGATTGGTTCGTGCTCTCAACACTCCAAATGCATTTGCCAGGAACTAACACAAGGACTGATCCACTCTCAGTGAAGACAGTAATCTTTCAACCATGTTTCTCCTCAACTTTACACTCCACTTAGCTTTCAGTATCAGCAGGCCTGAAGAACATGTGTGTGCACACACATGCATCTGAGAGAGTGGGCAGGAGGTGGGGAGAGTCCAAAATTACCCTTTACTTCCCAGTGCCCCAAATGTTCAGCCGTTAGACCACTTGAAATGGGAAAGGCACTCTTTTTTGGAGAGAGGGGTAAATAGAGCAAAGAAAAAGATAAGAGGATGGAGAGAAGTAAGAGAGACAGGAAAGTGGGGGTGGTGAAAAAGAAGAGAGAAGCTTTTAAATATACTGTTACAAAACTTATTTTTTAAGGGAGCAGGGCGGGAGGGGTGCAGGACTAATCCTTTCTAAGTAGCAAAGGCCTGGGAGCCGCTGAGGTGTAGCAATGGGGGGAAACAGATAAGAGGAGGGAGAAAATATTTTCATATAATACATGGAGGGGGATTCCTCTAAATTTGGCAATAACTTTACACTGTGCTGATATGAACCTCAGCTCTGACTTTATTTCACATTAACACATTGACCTTTGACTGTATTTAGCCCAGGATACAGTCATTACACCAAGCGGAGAAAACCCTCCATTTATCATTTAAAATAAATGAAGAGGGCTCCTTGGAATGATTAGGTTGTTTTTCAGGGTTTTGTGTTGTTTGTTTTTTCAATTAAACTCAGGAACAGATATTTTTGGAGATATTTTTTATTCCCTTAGGTCTCCACTTTTCAGACTGTTTTAATGGTAGGTTAGGCTCAGAAAGGAGATGGTAGACTGATGTAATTCTAAAGTGTAGCACATTAAAAGAATTAAACCACTTAAATAAATTACTCTAATTTGTAGTGCGGAGTCCCAGAATTTCAATCACTGGCAAACAAGCAGTGACAAGGTGAGCACATATTTGTTCACAAAAATCAAATGAAAATAAAGTCAGAGTAACTAGACTTTAAAATGATTATGTACATTAGCTCTGGAAGGTGGCCACAGGGCTATGTATATTTTGCAGTGCCACTGGAAACAGAAATGCAATGGTGGTAAAAGTCATCATCTCACTGGGGAATGATGAAGGGTGTTTAATCCTGCTTTTCTTCTCATTTCACAAACAAAAAAGCCCCCAGATCCAAAGGTCGTGTTATTGAGTCTGTACATCATTCAACTTCAATAGAATTACACCAGAAATGAATGTGGCCTAATATGTATATTTATAAAACAAGGATTCTTTTCAGTTCTGCATAGCAGTTTAAACTAGCTGAATAATTAATCAGTATTCAAACCGGGCTAAAAGGAACACTGACATATGTACTTCATATTTTAGAAGAATAAAGCCTCTGATACCTACAGATTTTAACTGTGCCAGTACTTTTCTTAATAGAAAACAAGTAATGAAAAAAACCCCACCAAA